AAAAAAAAAAAGATGTCCAGTACAGTGTTTATTTTTTTAAAAAAAAGCATTTTGAGGTGATTTGTAGATTAACATGCAGTTGTAAGAAATACTATAAAAGGATTCCACACACCCTTCACCCAGTTTTCCCAAAGGTAACATCTTGCATGATCACAACCAGAGAATTGTCATTCATATAATCCACCCACCTTATTCAGATTCCACCACTTTATGAGAGTATTCCTTTGTGCATGTATATTTAGTTCTATGCAGTTTTACAACCTGTAATTTTATGGAACCATTACTATAGTCAAGACACTGAATAGTTCCATCATAAGAAATAATGTTAATTTTTACAATAAAAAGTAAAAACAGCCGGGTGTGGTGGTGCACACCTGTAGTCCCAAAACTCGGGAGGCTGAGGCAGGAGGATCATTGTGAGTTTAAGACCAGCCTGGGCTACAAAGGGAGCTCAAGGCCAGCCTGACTGCAGAGTGAGACCCTGTCTCAAAAAGACAAAAAAAAAAGAGGAAGACCAAAGGTGTCCTTCCAGCATGAGAGAAATAACTAGCCAAAAATGGAACCGACAGGAACTGACTCGGCCCATACCTTGGCCTCGGCCTTCCCAGTCTCCACAACTGTGAGAGATCAGCCTCTTGCCTCATCCCCTTGGCCCAAGCTCTGGGATTATGTTATGGTAGCCTGAGCTGATTAAGACAGCACCTGTTCCTCAAAGACTATGGGGCTGAGGGGTTTAACACAGAAGTGTGTGTGGGGGGAGAATCAAGATATATTAAAACAAAACAATACAAATAGTGATTCAAGGCTGAGGTCCTACAGAGAGAAGGGACAGCTCCTTGGGGAAGCAGTCGCCCTGTTTATACCAGGAGTCCAGGGACCCAGGGGCTGTGCCTCCGGCAGCCCAAAGCAGCGTTGAAGAGGTCTTACCTGCTCTGCAGCCCCGGGCTTTGAGCTGCCTGGAGCAGAAAGGTGAGGGTGTCCCTTGGGCCTCGGCTTTACTTACTAGAGACAAGGAAGCTGGAGGGTCTGAGTGCGAGGGCCCAGGCAGGGTCCTGGGGATGGGGCAAGGGCCGCCGGGAGCTTACCCTTGCCAGTTTACCCTCAGCTCCCTGATCTGCAGAAGGGGAGGGGTGTGGAGACTGAGACAGGATGGACAGAACAGCTGCTCTGGCTGTGACCCGTAAGCCACGGGAGACAAACACAGGCAATCTGCCCTGCCTGGGCGGGGGCCCATCCTGCCAGAGACTGCGCCCACACGCTAAGAGTAGCGACCTAGAAGCCGGCAATGTGAGTCCCAACCCGACTGGGCTTCACCGAAGGGCAAACTGGCAAAGCCAGTTTACCGCATCGGATATTTTGACGTGGGAGACATTTTGCTAGAGTCGAGTTAAAATACAAAATCACCGTTAAAAAAAAATTACCTGGTAATTTATCAAAGATGTACCCAACCCTTCCTTTTACTCTGACGCTCGCCCTTCTCCTGACATTTGCTCCGCCGCGGACCTTGTCTCTGCTCCCGATTTTTGTTTTCACCTGCCTCTGATCTTTCTCCACTACGGATCACTCTCCGCTGCCGATCTTCTGAACTGAGAGCTGGTCCAGGGTGAGTGGAAGTGAGGCGTCTGCTTTGCACATACCACTTGATGATAAAAAAAACCTTACACACTTAATGGCTTTTTATAGGGGGGGGATACAGTACTGGGTACTGAAGCCAGTGTCCTGAGCTTGCTGGGCAAGCACTCCGCCCTGACGATTTGGTTTTCAGGGTAAATGTTCTTGTATGAATAGTACTTTGTTAATGTGTGTGGTGGATTGATAACTGGTGGTCAATTTGTTTGTTTGTTTGTTTTGTCTTTTTGAGACAGGGTCTCGCTATGCAGTTCGGGCTGGCCTTGAGCTCATTTGTAGCCCAGGGTGGTCTCGAACTCACAATGATCCTCCTGCCTCAGCCTCCTGAGTGCTGGGATTACAGGCATGTGCCACCATGCCCAGCTCCTTTTCCCTTGTAAAGCCTGACTACAACAATGTGTCAATGATTGAATGGTAGCTTCAAGGTACAGGAAATAGCAATAGTATTTGATATAAAGTGGGAAGTCACAGAGAAGCTCCCGGGTGGGAAAAATGAGAGGTCCCAGAGAGAAAAGAAAATGACGACCCTTCCTGGGAGTGAAATACCCTGGGGTCCTTTGGAAGATATGGGCGGTCTGTCTGCCTGGACTTCTGCCCTTTGGGGGGCTGCCTGCCCTTCTGCTGTCCCATGTGGTCTGGTAAACAGTCCCAATTCCATGGCTGCCTCAGGGAAAGAGGCAGGCCACGGCACAGGCCTGGCCAATCTCAGTATCTATGGCCTGTCCGCAGTGACTACTCCAAGAGGTGGGTACGTGATCCAAAGAGCCCTGGCTTGTTTCCGCAAGTGTCTAATAATCTGGTGGCCAGGAGGCAGCATCTCCAGGGTCCTCTCCGGGATCGTGGACTAACGGATGCTGGGGACCTGGGGCTGCTGGCTGTCATCTTGCCTCCATATGAACAGCCAGCAACCCTGCTTCAAACTTCCTGTGCCGATAAAGTCCCTTTTCACTAAAACTAGATGGAGTCTGTTTTCCTTCTGCTGCAACAGGCCCTTGACCCATTTTGCATGTATGGGGATCTCAAGATCCTGCTTACAAGGAAGCCTGCTTATGGACAGGCCCTGCCCAGCCTACCCAGAGTCCACAGCCGCACCTCCTGCTCAGGAAAGGGAGAACATGCTCTAGAGGAAACTGTTCCAGCTGTCCTTTCGCACTAACCCACTACGTCTTTCATTCGTCAAGGACTTTCCACCAAAAGAGATGCCTATCTCAGGTATATCAGTATCACCTCGGGAGCCAGAAAGTTTGGGTCCCAGTCTCACATCTGCCACTGATCAAGCTGCATCATTTAGCTTTGAATTCCTCATTCTTTAAAGGGCAGGGACAGCCGGTCCTGGAGGCGCACGCCTGTAATCTCAGCACTCGGGAGGCTGAGGCAGGAGGATCGTTGAGAGTTTGAGACCAGCCTGAGCTACAAAGTGAGCTCAAGTCCAGCCTGAACTGCAGAGTAAGACCCTGTCTCAAAAAGATAAAAAACAAAAACAAAATAAAGGGCAGGGACAGCGGCAGGGGAAGAGAATGATTGTGTGTGTGCGTTAGCATTACTGGGACTGAGCTGAGAGGTTTCATGCTGAGCTACGTCCCCATCCCTTTCTCTACTTTTTATTTTGAGAAAAGACCTCGCTGAATTGCTAGGCTCCAATTTCCAATCATCCTGCCTCAGCATCCCAGTGCTGGGATTACAGATGCACCCAACCACAGCTGGCTGCAGAGAACGACCTCTGTGATCCGTTCAAGCTCTACTGTTCTGGAGGGAGGGTCCAGTGAAATCAGACGGCACTCCAGCTAGGAGAGAGGGTATCTCTGAGTCAGACAGGGCTCCCCATCTGACCGCACAACCCACAGGGGTCCAGAGGCGCCGAGAGATGAAGCCAGGTCTCCAAAGCCTTAGTCACTGTCTGCTTCCATTCCCCAGGGGCCCTGCAGGGGCGCTGCTCCAATTATCCTAGATTGATGAGGGACCTCTAGGATGATGAAAGGGTGAGAGAGAAGATGTCAGAGGGCACAGTGGGAGATCTGTATCATCCAGCCTGGAGGAGGCGGGAAGGGCCTGTCTTCAGGTGTCCAGGGAGTAGGGGTGGGGCTGGGTGGCAGGGAGAAGGGTAAGAGGTCAAGGCTCGGGGTGTCTGGGAACTGACTCCAGCCCTGGCTCTGTCACCAAAAGCGGTATGACTTTTACTTGACAGGTTACTTCACTTCTCCAATCTTCAGTTTCCACATCTAAAAATTAAGGAGAAAAGACTCCACCGATTTTTTTTTTTTTTTTTTTTTTTTTTGTCTTTTGAGACAGGGTCTCGCTATGTAGTTCAGGCTGGCTTTGAGCTCCCTTTGTAGCCTAGGCTGGTCTTGAACTCGCAACGATCCTCCTGCCTCAGCCTCCCAAGTACTGAGATTACAGGCATGTACTGAGATTACAGGCATGTGCCACCATGCCTGGCCAACTCCACCGATTTGCACAAAGAAATATATACCGAGCTGGATGTAACTGGAGGTTTCACGGGCTCGAGTTCAGCTTGGGCAATTTAGCAAAACCCTTTCTCAAAATAAAATCTTAAAGGGGATAAGGATGTAGCTCAGTGCCCCCAGGTTTAATCCCCAATACCTCCCCCCACAAAAGGATATTGTAGCGATGTGGGAGACCAGTTAAGGAGAATTAAGGCCTAATGGCCTCCTCTCGAGCACCCAGGAGAAAGGGAGTGCAGGTTCTAGGGAAAAGTCAATCCAGCTGAGATTAAGTTGTTTATCTGAGCACTTATTCACGGATATTGGAAAGCAAGTGAATCCTGGGTTACTTTTTTGTGGTCCTGGGGATCAAACCCAGGGTCTTGTGTTTCTCAGAGCTGGTACCTGTGTCCGAGTGAACAAAGGCAAGATGAGCCCAATGCTAGGTGCTCTTTGCCCACTGGAGAAAAGAGCCTCCGGGGCTGCCTGCAGGCTAACTCTGTGTCTGCTTGTCTTTCCTTCTTGTTCACCCCGGGTGAGGGTGATAAACAAGCAGAACTAGATCCCTGCGGGTGACGCCTGGGAGGGGAAAGGCCAGAGTAGGCTGTTCCCCTGCAACTGGCGCCTGAGGGCACGGACCTGGGACCCAGAAGGCCAGTTTGCTACATAGCTAAAAACTACAAACGGCTCAGATTACCTGGGAATGGTGAGAGCTACTAAGCAGCTGGCGCAGGGTAGTGTACATTGATACAACAGAGGAGAAAAATGCCATTTGGATTTGAGGTGCAGAGCAATAGCTACCATATACTGAGCACTAACTACACGCTGAATGTAAGGGAGGGAGGGGTCTTTACATGAAGTGTCCCATTTCATATCCTGGAGAATCATCTGTGGGAGGTGTGATCACTTTTTCAGATGAGTTAACTGAGGCCATGAAAAGTTAACTCACCCAACTAGTTAATAAGCAATGGCTGCCGCGCGTGGTGGCGCACACCTGTAATCCCAGTACCCAGTGGTTGAGGCAGGAGGATCGTTGTGAGTTCGAGACCAGCCTGGGCGACAAAGTGAGCTCAAGGCCAGCCTGAACTGCACAGCGATGCCGGGCGTGGTGGCGCATGCCTGTAATCCCAGCACTCAGGAGGCTGAGGCAGGAGGATAGTTGCGAGTTCAAGACCAGCCTGGGCTACAAAGTAAGCTCAAGGCCAGCCTGAACTGCATCACTAGACCCTGTCTCAAAAAGACAAAAATGAAATAAAATAAAATAGAATAAAAACTGCATAGTGAGACACTGTCTCAAAACAAAACAAAACAAAACAAAACAAAAGCAGTGGCTGGCCAGGCATGGTGGTGCATGCCTGTAATGCCAGCACTCAGGAGGCTGAGATAGGAGGATTGCGTGAGTTCAAGGCCAGCCTGGCCTACACAGCGAGTTCAGGGTCAGCCTGAATTACAAGCAAGATTGTGTCTCAAAAAAAAAAAAAAAAAAAAAGTAATGGCATCAAACTGGGCATGGTGGTGCACATCTGTAGTCATAGCTACTCGGGAGGCTGAGGCAGGAAGATCTCAAGTTCAAGACCAGCCTGGGCAACTTAGAGAGACTCTTCTCTCAAAATGGAAAATAAAAAGGGCCAGTGTATAGCGCACTTCCATGGTTCAATCCCCAGTACAGGGTTCCGGTTAGGCAGACTGGAATTCAGATCAGAGGTATTTCCTGCTTCAGGCTTCTCAGTTACCTCACGTTGCCTCCAGCACTGGTTTCCAACCCTGGCTGCACATTGGAGTTAGCTGAGCAATTTTAAAATCTACTGGTGTCCAAGTCTGCTCCCAGAGCCTCTGATTTCACTGATGCAGGTCTAGCTTTGGCACTGGGAGTACAGAGTACTTTGGTGCTGGCCTACAGGGTAAGAGTCTGGCTCCTCTGCTTAGTGTAGAAGGGCCTTTGACTTCTTCGCTAAGCTCTCCTGTACCTTTATTTTTCACCCATTTCCTCCAAGCCAGTTACCATGCCCTGTCCATGCTATGCCTTTCTATTTATATTTCTGTGCCTTTAGGTGTTATTTCCTTGGC